GCTTGTGCCGCGTTGCTGCCACGACGGTACAAATCTTACTTAATCATGTTAATATTTTAAATGCGAAAGTTTAGATGGATGGACGGATGTTTGTTGAGTTCATAGCCTAAACAGCTGAATGGATCTCGATGAAATTTTGCATAGATGCAGAGCATAGTCTGGAAGAAAACATAGGTTACTTGCTTTTATTTTAATTCCACGAGGACAGAGTCGCCTGCGAAAGCTAGTATTACAAGTGCGAAAGTTTAAATGGATGGATGTTAGAGTTTGTAGCCTAAACGGCTGAACGGATCTCGATGTGGCACAGACGTAGAGGATAGTCTAGTACAACATATAGGCATTAGTAAAATACAGTTAAATTGAAAGTAGAATTCTCAGCCAAACAAAAATGATTTTTACATGAAACGGCCAGTACTGTAGAAGGGCAATTTCATAGGTAGACTTATTTGGGCGTGGAGGGTATTTAGGCTTGTGAATCTCTGTTTGAACCGTCGTGTAATGCGATGCGAAAAACATGGACGTTGTATTATAATTTGTATAACTTCTTGGCAAAAAAAAAATCAATACCCATGAGTCAGTACAAAACGCCTTCGAAGAATTCGTCTTCCGTCAAAAAACAGCCACTGCGTTGGCTAAGATGCATTGATTGCATGGGCGATTACTTCGATTAATACAAATGAGAATACATAAAAAACTACGTTTATTATTTTCATACAAAATGGCAATTTTCTAGGTAAAGACATAATGTCTACTCACAAATAGCGCTGTTGGTTTCTCTACAAACAAATCATTTGATGTGACGTTTTGACCCTTTTCTTGTTAGTGTATCTGTAGAGATACATCAATTTTTTTTTCTAAACACCTTGGGTCATCAAGGTTAAGTGCTATGAATATTATTTTGATATTCGAAAAAATAAAATTCTGCCAAGTTAAGGGTTAAAAGTTTATGGACAAAACAAAAAGTTGTTATGAAATAAAAGGCAATAATTAGGGGTAAGTTTTAATGCAGTGTGTGAAGTGTCAGAGTGCGGCGAGGTCGAGGGGCTCGTAGCGCTGGTCGCGCGCGCGGCGCACGGCCAGCTGCACGCGGCCGGCGCGCGCGCTCAGCAGCACGCCCGC